AAACGAACATGCCTCGGTCGGCTCGGCAGCACCTTCATGCAAGAATCAGCCCAGTTTTTCGCCACGATTCCTTGCCACAAATGAACGCCTTTCACATTTACTAATCAAGAATGATCTTGGGATTCCTTACACGCATGAAACAAAAGTTGGTTGAGGCATAAGTTCTGAAGAAGATTCGATGACAGAGCACCGTTGGATGAAAGTGGATGTTTCTTTTGTGACACGGCCTTGTTCGTTCGAAAAGTAATGAGAGACCCTTTAAAGCTCTTCTGAACTCCATATCATGTAAAACCCCTGAAGAAGTTCTTTAGCTTGGCGTGAATTTGGTCCAAATCTGGCGTGAATGCGTTGTTCCACAATTTTTGCGACAACCTAACCTTCTTCAAAATCCAACAGCCGTTTTTATTATGCAGTCCCCTTAAGAAGTGAAGTGTTACTACAATGAAAAAGTTTCGTGGAACAAAAGTGAAAAGTAGTCGATAAACGTGAGGTGGACGTATAATTTTGGGACGTCGGCAGAGTGGCCTTTTAGACAAAAATTATTGAAAATCCTAGGATTTAAATAGAATTGATGTTCATGAAGCAAATTTGCACAATCCTACTATATATAAGCGGCTAGCGTGTGTCTGTTGGTGTGTGTGTGTGTGTGTATGTTTGACCGGAAATTCATAGCTCGAGTCACAGTAACGATAGCGCAGTGGTTCTTACATATGTTATAGGGGGTGGGATGGGGACACAAGTGGTACGTGATAGGAACTGATAACGACTGATAATAGCTGATAAGAGGGGCTAGAAAGCGAGCATCGCCAATTTCGTTTTGCCGTTCATATTGGTAAAAGAGCGTCTATACTTACAAGTGTTATGTGGGGCGGTCCCGGGACATTGGTGGTACATGATTGGAAGCGATAGCAACTGATAATGGCTGATAAGATGCGCTAGAACGCAAAAGTCGTCGATTCCGTTGCCTGGCTCGCGTTGACACCAGAGCAACCATACTTACAAGTGTTATGTGGGGTGGGACGGGGACATTGTTGGTGGTGGTGGGGGGGTGGGGCGGACTTAGAGAGGGCGGGAGGGGGTGCGGGATGAAGTACCGATTGTAAGGGTGAATAATCCTACTATATATAAGCGGCTAGCGTGTGTCTGTGTGTGTGTGTATGTTTGAACCGGAAATTCATAGCTCGAGTCACAGTAACGATAGCGCAGTGGTTCTTACATATGTTATAGGGGGTGGGATGGGGACACAAGTGGTACGTGATAGGAACTGATAACGACTGATAATAGCTGATAAGAGGGGCTAGAAAGCGAGCATCGCCAATTTCGTTTTGCCGTTCATATTGGTAAAAGAGCGTCTATACTTACAAGTCTTATGTGGGGCGGTCCCGGGACATTGGTGGTACATGATTGGAAGCGATAGCAACTGATAATGGCTGATAAGATGCGCTAGAACGCAAAAGTCGTCGATTCCGTTGCCTGGCTCGCGTTGACACCAGAGCAACCATACTTAAAGCAGGGTCGGTCCTATCGTTGGTACTTTTTGGATTTTTCTTACGACCCCCCCCTTCGTGAGCGATTTGGTACGACCCCCCCCCCGACGACCCAAACGCGTATTGACCGCGTTTTGAACGTGGTGGATCGCGCCCTGGGTGACTGCAATGGAGCGCGCTTGTTGATCGGGAACAGGTGTCGAAAGGGGAGATTGTCATGTACACGGATTTTTCTTTGTAAAATTTCAGGTTTCTCGGAAGACGGAGGTGGATTCTGGATCACTAATGGTCATCCTTCTTAAGTAAAGCGGATTTGTTCTTAAACAATCTGAAGTAATTAAGTTATTAAGCAAGAAATGGAATTGCACTGCAATTTTTACCTTCCACTTTCTAGCCCTATAACTTTCTTCGTATTCAAGCTTTTGCGGCGAAGTGATTTGATTTGAAAAATTTAAATTATTTTCTCTCCACTCATGTCTAAATTTTCTTTCAAAGTTAATTTAATAAAAATTTAGCACGTTGGAACTTTTTCCTGGTCAAACGCGACTTTTCAACATTCATACGATCATAACTTCTCTCAAAGTTAGTCATTTGGGAAGCTGAACGCGCGCTATGCAGAACTACAGGATTCGAGCTTTCTAACAAGTACCGCCCCCCCCCCCTAGCTTTGCGCTGCAGACAAGCCTCCCAGTCCTCCCCACTCAAAATTAGTCCCGTTGGGACTTTTCTTGGGGGGTTCGCGGAACTATTTTTCTGAAACCGCGACTTTTCATCCTTTTAACGATCATAACTTTGTTCAAACTGATTTATTTGGGAAGCTGAACACGGTATGAGAAACTAGAGGGTTCAAGCTTTCTAACAAGCACCCCAATATTCCTGAAAATTTAGTACTTCGAAAATTAGTCCCGTTGGGACTTTCTTTTGAAGGGGCATTCTTCAAGTCATTTTCTTAAGAACGTGGGTTTTTCTAGGTTTCACAGGCCGCAACCTCCAGGGAAAACAATATCGTTTTGACCATAGGAAGTGTTAGAATGCTTCGAGCATGCGCTTGCAGTGACATACCCTGCCTCGGTGTGCGCCATGCCTTGGCCGCGCTTCTGATTCGCTCATTCGATTGAAAGCTCATTTAGAAGGAACTGGCTTACAGATGCTCTACTATCAATTTTCTTGCGTAAACAACTTCCAATTGCTCTTTCCTTCCGTACCAGCATCTATTATCGCTCCAGCCCCCCCCGATAAGCATAGCACCCCACATCCGCCCGCCAGAAACGCAGATAGTAGACCCCCCCTCTTCCAGCTAACCAAGTATCCGCCAACCCCCCCCGCTTGGTCCTTGTATCACGTAGGGTTTGACCCTGCCTTCCGATTCCCCTCTTGTGTTATGCTGGGGTGGCGACGCGGACATTGTTGGTGGGTGCCAGAAACTGATAACGATTGATAAGGGCTGATAAGGCGCGTCAGAACGCAAAAGTCGTCAATTCCGTTACGCAGCGTTGACACTAGAGCGTTCCTACTTACAAATTGTAGTAAGTCGTAGTAGTACAAACAAAGGTACGTGCACATTATTTCGATATATATCCAGCTTACTTAATAGAATTCGACTGCATAAACTTTAAAAAACAAGTCTTCAGCAAATGATAAGTTTCATTTCTGACTATTAAGAAAACCCAAACTCATTAAACCGCTAATCCTTTCGTGGTTCTAAATAATGATGAATGTAAATGAATGATAAGCATTAGCTCCTCACTTATGTAAATAGGCATATTTCGTTTTGATTTTGAGACTGACAGCAATCCTATTCACCGCTAAATTATCTTAATTCAAGAAAAATGCTGGATGTTTACAGAGTTGTGATCAATATACCAGTTCAGCTCAGACGTTATCACGCGTATTCTCGATGAGCTTCAGTGAAACTGTGGAGGGTCTAACACAGTCAATAGTGAGATGGTTAATGGAGTATCTCATGCTGATATTCCATGGGTCCTCCAATTTCGCTAAAGCCTGCCGTGTGATGCGCGCGATAGCGGGCGAAGCAAAACTGGTAAGTACCATGAAGAGCTGAGTTGGGATGGAATGGCGCCCCGGTAGCGTAACTTGTAGCGTACTTGTCCGGTAAGCAAGAACTGCGCTTTCGAGTCCCGGGGCGGAAGTTTTGTTCACAACCAGCATTTTTGTGAAATCGTTCAATACATCAGCTTAGTCATAATACTTCTATTGCTTCTAATTTTCATCTTTGTTCACTAGAACTTTTGTCACGAAAGACGCATCAACAAAATTCTGGTATCATCAAGTAAGGGATGACGTATAAATGTCTATGAAAAAATATGTTCACCGAATGAGCAGTTAGGACTAAGCCTATGAGGAGGAGGAAGTCCTCTGGGGAAAGCGAAGATTGCTCACGGACCAGGGGGTCTCCTTCGCTCTTCACAGGCTCAGTCCTAAATGTTTACAATAAAGAACTATGCTGTCCGTGGTTTTGAACGCGTTGAGCACTTTAAAGGACGAATTTACGATGGAAAAGCAACCCATTCCAAATTGAGGTAGAGATGGTGAGTAGTACCAGAAAGAAAGCGAAACCACGAAAAACGGCCCAGAACCGGAGAAATGGGACCCCTTCCTTGTCCGTTGATTTGAGCATTGATGGGACTCTCATCGCTTTGCCCTCTTCAACCCTACGCTCTCTCAGCTATCTAATCACTCGCCACCTATTGTACTACGGCGAGTGATCAGACGATCGGTGGGCGGAGATCGCCGAACTCGCCAACTTTGAGCCATGCTAGATCTCAGAGGTCAAATCTTTCGATGCCGATTGCGTGTCTGTCCGCACCCTCAAGAGATTCACCGCTCTCCCCACTAGGCGATTTCTCCCTTCTTCGACCTTCGTTCTTTCCGTGCAATCCTCCTTTAAGGAAGTGTACGCTCTGGATGAGGTC